TTTAATGTGGAACTACGGTGACAATGGGTGGTACAGTGTGGACAAGGCGGGAGGTGCAGCCTGAAAATGCAAGCCTCGTGTCTTCGATCACTTCCCTTTCTCAGTCCAGGTCTTTCGACATTCTTCCTTGAGACCTGTCTCAACCCTTGGATGCAAGGGATCCAGGCGCAAAATAATGGTGTAGCCTTGAGGGCGTGGCAACCTCTCTAAAGCACAAGCTGGATTCGTGTCGGCCTCCGGGTCGGCAGCGGACGGCGGGTGCTTTGTCAGAGGCACAGGAGGTTAGGGGACCAGATCCTGTCTGCATAGACGGGGAAGGGTGCATAACCATCTATACTACGGGGTAGCAGAAATCATCCCATAGGGAAACCTTCCCTATGGGTCTAGGTAAGCCCTACCAACAGCTCCCATGCCTAGGGGTAACCAATGATAGAGGAAAAATTCCCTATTACCTTCCCCATCTTTCCTTACCCTTTACTTTTCCTTCCCCTCCCCCCACTGCTTTGGCAGTAGTTTCCTCCTGCATCAGTAGGGTGTCGTATGAACTCCCAGGAGGGTGATCAGTCCCACCTTAAAAATAATACTGGACCACGGGAGTAGAGTATCCAAGCGGCTCTACTAATTGAGGTTGGACTCGTGGTGGTTGTGGTTTGCAAACAAATTGTACCACCCAACCGGAGGTGGAGATAGAGTGCCTTCTCTATCTCTCCGGGGGTGGTAAAAGGCATGGCAGATCCGGGCAAACCACAAAACTGCCTTTTTCAACGCACTTGCATGGATGTGCCATTTTTGGGACACCTCTGAACTTGATTAGCATTGCACCAACTCGCTAGCCAAGGGATGTGACAAGTCCATGCATGTAAAATCTTACGTTAAAGATTAAAAAAAACGTTAAAGTCCTCATGGGTTTCAACATCCATGAGCAAAGATGGGGTAGAAGAAATGTTCCAAAGTCCAGCCCCTGCTACATGGGAACGGACTCGTAGTGGCTTAGTGGCGATGCTCCTGGCGGGAACTTAGAGAAGAGGTTGTTCTTTTATGTATGACCTTCGCCCAAGCACTTGCGTATGACCTTCGTTATAACCCCGGCCTCAAGGGATACGAAGGATCGGACCATCGAAGCGTATAGCGTTGAGGACGGTCAGACTACGCTGATGGAGTCCCTCGAATAGGAACAGATAGTTGTCGGTGGTGCCTGAATGGCGTCCTTTACCGAAGGCAGTCTCCTCTAGGTGGTGGTTACCAATTCCACTTTAAACAAAACCGCGGCCGGGGTTGAGGGAGGAGCCTCAATACTCTGGGAGATAGAGTGGCTTTCTCTATCTAGAGAGTGCGTGGGAGACCAGGCTGATGCATTTCAGCCACTTGGGTAGCCTTTTACGCACGGTATACGGTTTGATGCTCAATACAGACCCGACCGCTCGGAATGGGCCAGCGGGGAGTGAGGTTCGTCTTGGGACCTCGGGTTCTGGGACATCTTCCACACCAACGCTAGCGGCTGTAACACACATTGAGTCATGAGCGGAGGTGCGTCATCTCTCATCTTGAGAATGAAAACGTCCGGTAAGGCCATGAGCCAAGTACGGACGCTAAAGACCCTCATTGGCCTTTTAAGGACGACCGTGTCTTTCGAAATGCTTGAAACGTAGAACTGGTTATTGTGTTTGTACATCTTAGTTTGGAAAAAACCCATTTTTAAATTACGTATGGTTTAAGAATTTTATGTTCTTCAGTGTTTTATTTTGTTTATCTCAACTAAAAACCTTAATTAATTGTAATAGTTTTATTTTGTATTGTAATGTTAGATTGCTTACTTATTTTTGACGACAACACTAAACTTTTATGGTCATCTTAATATATCAATGTTATTATTGTTTTTATCAATTGTACATATTTTTAATAGCTCGCAACATTGTACGTTATGGTTTAATTATAAATTTGTTAAATGAACTTTTCTCTTTTGTTGTAAAGAAGCTATCTACGTTCTTTAGCCTGCATATAATATTTACTTTCCATTTAAAACATTAACCGTCATTAACGTAACAAAACAAAAAAGGGGGGAAACTGAAAAAAAACCTTCAATAAGTAGATGGCCGGGTGCTCACCTGTTGAAATTTGCTTCCTCTCCAGGCTAAATTATGGACGAGCTGTAATGAAAAAAGTTTTATTAATTCAGTCTTAAGGTGTTTTTTTCAACTCTTTCTTATTAATTAGTTCCAAGTTGATGCACCTTCTTATCCTTATTAATATACATATACCTGGAAAAAAATCTTTTGACCTTTATTTAGGATAAAGTTCTGAAATCCTGTTTCTAAATGGTATTTTCTTTGTTCATAATTAAGTCAAACCGGATTTGAACAGGTTTTGTCCTAAAAGACAGTCTTATTTATATTTTGAAAGTGCTCAAATTAAACCAAATTAAATAGACCAAAAATTCATGTGTTTTAATAAAAATTATTCGAGATTCGAGAGAATGCAAAGATTTAGGAGTCTTATTTACCCCAAGACTTTCTTGGACAAAGCACTTCTCTTGGAAAGCGTCAGTGGCTAAATTAGGTCTAAGTAACACATGGTCTGCCTTCATATTTCAAGAAACTATCCCTATTGAAGTCAAGTTTAATATTTTTAAGGAAATAAGTCTTGCAATTCTGTGCTATCAAATGTGGAGATATAAGAAATTCGAAACAATAGTGCAACGTTTTTTGTAAGAAAGTTATTCACATTGCCATCTGATAAACCAAACCTATATATTATATTTAGACTAACATAGATTTAATTTTAGTTTATACACTTAAGCTTTATTACTCCTATATTGTGAAAGTTCTGATGTCTCCCGATACTAGATACATAAAAATTACATCTTTGGCGGTAATGAAGTCTAATATTTCATGGTTTGCACACTGGAAATATTTGCTTGAAACGTACAACATGCCCTTCCTCATATCCTTGGACAACCTCTGTGACTGGCATAATTATGTTTCCGGTGTTATTAATCAAATTAAAAAAAAAAAAAAAAAAAAAAAAAAACATCCCAAAGAGTCAAGTGTCCAAGCATCTACGAATCTTTCCATTTACAAATAAGTACAAATTTCTCCTCCATTGTTCGGCCTACATGATGACAATTTTGTCGTACTTTGTCTGAATGCGTTACGTTGGCTACTTAAGCTAAGAAGTGAGGTTTTGAATTTAAACTCGGCTCTTTAGATTTGAGTCGAATTAGGAATTTGTTCTTTGTGCAATTCGAGTTCTATTGAAACTGTATTCCATTTCTTGGGGGATCGCTCATCCTGCGTGAGATTCGGTTGTTATATCTCGGATGTTTCTCTTTCCTCAGAGTTGACCATTTACGGTTTTTGAGTGGCTCAAATTCGTGACCTTTAATTCATTACACTAGGCCTGCATGGAACTACAAATAGGTGTTAATTAAAAAGTTAAAATTTTGATTTTTATTGTATAATCTGTTTTTATATTCTTTCTTTTTCATTTTAACAGTTGTTATTTCTCTTTTCTTTCCATTAATTGCCTAGGCTATAATTATTATCTTACTTTATTGTGTATTTTTTTCGTTTCTGGTTGTTTAATCAACGACCTCTGGCAGATGGATCCAAGATGCTTTGAAAGCACAATTGTCTTTTTTCTTATGTTCAATGAAGCATTATTATTATAAATCCATTTACGTTTTCGTAGTCAATTGCCCCAGTTACTTCTTTCAATCAATTAATTATTCTTTCTAAGGTCTTGGTTAGGATAAAAAAGTCAGCGCCACGAGCGGGATTTGAACCCACGACCACTATCGTGACTTCGATCATCTCGGACACCAACTCTCCATCTCAACTACAATCTTTCGAATTTTCCCTCTTTTTACCATTTTCAATTGGCTCTTGGTATCCGAGAGGATCGAAGTCACGATAGCTCAAGTGGTAGAGCAGCGGCTTATTTAGCCGAAGGTCGTGGGTTCGAATCCCGCTCGTGACACCGACTTTTTATCTCAACCAAGACCGAGAAAAAATAATTACTTGATTGAAAGTAGTAACTTCGTCAATTGACTACGAAAACTCAAATGGATTTCCCATAGCCTTGTATGGCCAATAATAATAATAATAATAATAATAATAATAATAATAATAATAGAGTCCGACTAGCATCAGTATCAGCTTGCATATAGGCTCAACGTTATCCTTTTATTCTTCCATGCAAATAGTATAAATAAACTAATGCTACTTAACAATAATAAAAAACAAAAACACAATAACACTTCTTTTTCTTTATCCTCTTTTTTGGAGGGAGCTATCTTTCTTATTTAAATGCGATTTCGAGCATTGCAGTTTATTACCCCGCAATTTGTATTTTCTTCTATTTCATTCCACTCCGGCAGCCTCAAAAATTCCTGAAAAAAGGAAGAAACCTTGCTCGCATAACTCATTGAAACCCTAGGAGACAAACATTCAATGGTAAAACTATTTGGGAAAAGGCCTAAATTCTCATTATAAATTATAAAAAATCAATTAACTCGCTCAACCAGTTGGCCCTGGAAAGCATGAAATTGAACTGATTTTCTCTATGATCTAAAATGTGTAAAATGATTAGTAACACTTTATAAAATTAATTATAACATAATTTACAACCAGTTGATTATGTTTTTTTTACGTTTTACGTCAACTGCTAATCTTTGTACCTAGTTATTATGGAAAATAAATAAATACAAGTTTGCAGTATTTTAAGCATTGAGTGTACGATGTTTACATTAATTTAAGTTTATAAAAGAGTATATTCTGACATCCTTTTAATAATATTTGTGATTTTTTTCTACATAATTATAACTCAATATGAACATCAATAAACAATCCAAGGTTTTTGGTTGCAGTACACAGACCAAGGTTTTGTTCATAACGCTATACGGAAATGACATTCCACTAGGCAATTAGATGAAAGATTTAATTTTTAATTTATCATGACATCCGGTCAGAGACTCGTTATTTTTAAAAGATAACAAATCATTAGATTGGGACAAACGCATGCATTTTCGAGACCGTTCAATGCGGCAGGATGAGTTTATTTTATTTGTCAATTTTCTCTTCTCTAGCTTATTTTCACATTGCCTTTGGAGCTAAACAGGTATTCAAACACGTCAACCTATCTATAGTTGAAACATTTTTCTTTGCCCAATTAATTATTCTTTTTATCTAAGGTTTTGGTTGAGATGAAAAAATCAGTGTCACGAAAGGGATTCGAACACACGACCTTTGGCCCAATACGCTGCTGCTCTAACCACTTGAGATATAGTGACTTCGATCTACTCAGACACCAACTCCTCATATCAACCTAGAACCTTTCGAATGTTCCCTTTTTTCCATTTTTCCATTTTTTTCACGATTCGATTATCGGTGACTTATGAAGTGGCCACGGGGAGCTGTTAGCGAAGCGATTACTTCTATAATAATAAGCATCTTGAACTCAAGTGGATAGGGCAGCGGCGTATTGAGCTGACGGTCGTGGGTTCGAATCCCGCTCGTGACGTTGGCTGTTTCCTCTCGGCCAAAACCTTAGATTTTTGGTATAGTTAATTAATATAATCAGTACGGCCAATTATGACTACTAAATACATAATGTATTAGTATAATAAACCCCGCTCATGACACTGACTTTTTCATTTCAACCAAGACCTTAGATAAAAAGAATAATTTATATATTTTTTCTTCGTGTAGTTCTACGATATCCGTTTGGTTAAAATCTTCGACTGCAGCTATCCGACAGACAATATCAGCACCAGGATTAGCGTTGATGTTAAATACATCAACAAAACGTCGTTTGTCCTCAACGGCGATTACAGTATCGTTGAAAAACTGGACAACAATGTCGTCGTAAGTGAGAGCACTGGAAAAATTCACGGCTTCGTTTTTTAAATCTAAATTTATTCCAGTTGCACGTGTCGGCCGATTTGAAGAGTAAAGGAGAATACAAAGAAAAACTGTTTGACAATGAACTCGGCCCTTTGTGCGACGGCATGAAAAAGTTGTCACCCAGTTTTTTCGCACAATTGCTCGGAAATGGCGACACCGAGAAGATGTGCCCAATACACAAGGTTAGTCAAATATATTTTCCGTCATTAAGAAGGATACACACAAAAACAATTTGTGCTTAATTTAAACTCATCATACAATAATAATTATAATCAAATTCTTTTCCTCTCAAAATGGAATTTTCACCTTGGTGTAAATATTGATATCTTTGCGAGTTTCTTAATGACCTGTTGTTTCATAATTTGTCGAAGCGTTGTTGTGAGGAGCGGTCAATAATTAGTTATTTTAGAAAAATTCTTTTACCGACGTTTCGACCTATATTCGGGTCTCTTCAGGGCATAAAGTTTAGTGTGAGTCGTATTCGTTTTGTGTGAGAGTGTTGTGACTCAAAACTAATATAATACCACAAGAATAGCACCATATCTTATGCCCTGAAGATGACCCGAATAAAAGTCGAAACGAAGGAAAAAAAAAAATGAAAAAGGTTTTTTCTAAACTACCTCATTCTTGACCGCTTCAACAAATTGTGGCATTTGCTCCTCATATTTTCGCAACTTTATCTTATTAAAAGCATTTCAAACGAAAATATAATAAAAAAAAATTTTCTATTAATTAATCTTAGTTTGTCGCCGAGAATCGAATCCTGATTACACGAAATTTGAAAAATGGCAAATAGGAGGGAAAATTTGAAAAGTTGGTTGAAGTGGAAAGTTGGTGTCCGAGTGGTCCGAAGTCACGATAGCTCAAGCGTTTAGAGCAGTGGCGTATTTAGCCGAAGTTCGAATACCGCGCGTGACACTAACTTTTTCATTTCAACCAACGACTTACATAAAGATTAATTAAGTGAAGTTATTTAGTCAATCGAACCACGAAATAAAATGGATTTAATAATTTTTTTTGTTAGTTCTAGAAAAAAAGAAACTTACAAAATTAACTCATTTTTTTCCAAAATCATTAAACATTTTTTTTTCAAAAATTGTTTAATCCGTTTTATTTAATATATTAGCTGGAAATTGAATTTTTTGAAAAATTAAAGTATTCCTTTTAACATCAAATGATCCAAACAATAATTTGTATGAGAATTTGAATCCTTGTTAATATTGATGATAGTTTATATCTGGCATATGTGTGGATTCGAGGACAATCGATCAACTTCTGTCAATGATTTATGGAAGGATCAGAGTGGTAGTCTATTTTTACAAATATTTAAGCTATAATCTGCCAAGCTTTCAATCATTTATTAGATTTTCATAAGGCAATACAGTTATTACAACTAAGAGTAATTATTTGTCGCTATAAAAGTAATTATTTTTAAAATAACTACCCTGATCTCTCAGCACGGTTACTGCGGTCGATGACAGGTTTTCCGTTGACCATCACGTAGTGCTTTCATTGGAGAGGTACCACGGACTGGAGCGTCTCGGAAAACCGTGGTTATTGGACCTGGAAACATAAGTCTGAAGTTTGGAGGGTAATGAATCCGGGCCTCTGACACTAATAACGAAATAAAAACATGATTAAAAGAAGGTGGCAGCGTCAAAGGGGCGGATCGATAGAGAAGCTCGTATCAAAACCGTTTGGTGGCCCTCGGACTGACTAGAAGAAAAAGGGTAAATGAAATCCTTACCGGCCATGCGAGGTTGACTAACGGACTGTTAATTGACCATATTAATTATTTTAATGAATTATACTTTTTTTTGGCCTTATGATCTTGCATATTTAGCCATAGTACGAATTCTTGTATGTTTGTTCAAATTGGGGGTTATCGGGAAAAAAGGGCCAGAGGCGACGGTGGGAATCGAACCCACGACCGCGGCGTGAGAATCTCTCATGCTAACCACTCGGCTACCGCGGTCCCCAATCTAAAGTCTTGGTTGAGATTAAGAAATCAAGTGTCCCGACCGGATCACTTACTTTTCATCTCAACCATGACCTTAGAATAAAAGTATTAAAATAATTAACATGAACAATTATGACTAATAAATACATAGGTGGATTAAGTAATATCAATGATAATGTGTTTAACTACCAACTTTAGTACCAAATGAGTACAAGCTGTATCTGATACAATAGCTGGTTGGTCATGGCCAAAAAAATACTGCACATGACAACATATATTTTCCTCGGAACAACGTAAATAAAAGGCTTACCTCTGTCTGTTCCAATTTAACAATAAAAAATATATTTTCCGCCAACGGTTTTACAGGCGGAAAACAATTTTCGCCTACTTTGCGCGGCTGGCTGATGAAAACTCACTGCTTGTAGGTTCTATAATTTTTTTTTTGGTACGGGTCGACGTCGAAGGTTGTTTGACCGAAGACGAGCTACAAAAATATAAAGCGTATTTGTTTTATCAGTTATGGACAAACTACTATGATACTGATAACTGTACGGTTTAGTTTTTTTAATTTGATTTGACCGAAACTTAACATTTTTAGGCAAGTCGCGTTTTCACGTTGCATTTCCCTTTTTTTTGTTCAATTTCAGAGGAACACATTCACTTAATTTTTGAGAGATTTATAAATTCCTTAGTATTCTTCATACGTAGTGCTTTTGCTAAATCCTTGAGTTTTTCTAGCTTGACCTCTTTACTTGGCTAAGTAGGTCCAGCCTGTTGTGTTTTCCTAAGGCGATTTGGCATTTTCGGCTTTCCGAGACAACTTTGTAGCTAAAAGCATATGCAAGATTGCCTGAAAGTTTTTAGATCGGTACATCTTTTATATTCTTCTTTTTCTAAGGTTTTTTGCTAAGGTGTGATTTGGCTTTTTTAACCCTACTCTTACTCCTTGGTCCATGCCTGATCCATCTGTATACCATACACACCCTTTCAGAAACTTGGAGTTGCCTTTCTTGTAAAGAGATTGTTATCCAAGACCACTGGTCAGATATGAGTTTTCCTCTCATTTTGTCACGTACGGTGTTATAGTCATATCATGGATTTTAATTCTCTCTCAAATTTTATGGTGGCTTCTCCTTAGTTCTGGTTTTTTACCTATACAGTTCAGGTTGGCACTAACGAAGGGTACCTTTTGTATTTGGTGTGCTCGAGTGCGGTTCCATCGCTGTTGTTGAACAAAAATACGTGGCTCCTGTTAATTTTTGCACTTTTTGGAAAGGTTAGTTCTACTCAGATTTATCTTTTCCAATGAAGTCTTTTCCAATGAAATGCTCTCCCCCATCTCAAACCATTCTAGACTTTGCTATTCGTTTTGTTGTTTCTTATACATTAATTCTGGCGAACATCCTGCAGCTTGTATATGAACGTCATATTCTGAATACAATCCCAGTTTTATAATATATATTTTTGTATAATATTATTAAAATATATTATTGATTTTTATATCTTTAAAGTAATTACAATAGTAACAAAAAGCTGCAAGAAAAAAAGACATACTTGGATAAAAATGTGAGAAAAACCCACAGTTTTGAGTTATTAAAAAAAAAGCAAAAAAGTTCTCTTTTAAATTGGTTGTCGTCAATCAGCATCACGTGGGCATTAACGTTTATGTTGTCGGGGAGCATTGACTGGGATGGTCGAACTGAACTTACGACCCAACACTTTTCAATAACTAAGCTGTCTATCAACTTCCACTCGTAGCCCAAGTGCCAACATTATCAAAGGCTTGATCAATGTCAAAGAACACACCTGAACTGCTCATATTCAACGGATGATGAAATAACGTCCACAACTCGATGACATTGAAGAGTTGTTGAATGTAGTCACCTAACTCCAAACTGGTGATTGGGAGGAGTTATTTTGAATTTAACGATGGGTACAAGCGTTTTAATAGAAGATGCTCGAGAATTTGACTCGCCACAACAAAGAATACCGAAAGATCGGAAAGATGAAGGAAGATTGACAGGTTTGGTTAGTTTATGGAAAACGAACGCGGCAATTGTACAAAAGGGAGGAAAGAAGTTGTTCGCAGAACGGACTTTTGAACGCTTTTCGTGGTAGATAACGAAAGATTTGACACGATATGTGTGGTGTTTAGTGAGCCTTAGCCAATGATTATTTAGAGATCGTGAGATGCGGTCTGGTGTGACGTAGCTTTTAGAAAAACATTTTCTTTATCGTGCTAACGTTTCGATCTTTATTGAGATCATCTTCAGAGTTCAAAGTGTTTGTTTTCCTTGTAGATATGTCATTCTCGTATGTCGTGTTAAGAGTGAACAACACACAACCGTCACATATCTACATAGAAATACTTTGAGCCCTGAAGATGGTCTCAATAAAGATCGAAACGTACCACGAAAAAGAAAATGTTTTCTAAAACCTACGTCACACCAGACCGCACCTCACGATGTCCAAATAATCATTTGACACGAAGCTGTGCGGCGTGAAAGTGGTGGATATCTGCTTAGGAAAGACACAGCATTTTTGGAAGCCATCATCATTGCGAAGAGGAAAAGTTTTATAAAAAAAAAATTCTCGCGGTAGTTAATAGAGAACTATTACCATGAATGTGTAATGAAATTTACAATGGTTTATTTATTATCATTATTTATGCATAAATATTAAAAGTATGTTTAAAAATAAAAAATTAAAAGAATTTTTGTAAATTTCGATTTTTCAAATTTTCAGGGCCAGTATTCAGTTGACAGCGAGCCTATGACTATAGAACTTCCTAATGTTAAGACCTTGCCATTTGGTGCTTACAGGGTGAAGTTCGAAGGCCATCGGGGCCCGTGCAAAGTCTTCTGCCTCGCTGTATTTGCCGATGTGACAAAGCCACGATAACGGAAACGTGTAGTTTATTTTTACGCCAAAATATATTAACCATAAAAAGTTTTGAAGTTTTTTTGTCATTGTCTATTTATTTTCTATCCTTATGTTATGATTTGTGAAAAATTAAGTAAAATTGGAAGTAGTAGTCGACAAGAAAGTCTAATTCCGGATCACTAACGAGAGCCGGTTTTAGTTAGACCATTTCCGTTCATGATTTGTATATTATATGTTTTAACCAGAGTAAAACCAGACGGCTTGTGATTAAAAAGTGAATTGATTTAGAACCAAATTCATACAACAAAAAATAGTTTTTCTGTTTATGAGTACTATAAAAACAATGATCAAATAATATTTAACAATGTGGCTAATGTAATATTTGTCCGCAGTAAAACAGTATTCTACCATCATGACCCAAAAATTTCAAAAACGCGCGTGTCAGAGGGTAGTGATCGGAAAGGGTTGAGGCTTTGAATTTTCCTTCTAGTCTTCCTGTACACGTGGACGCCACTGGAACCTTTTTCACAGGTAAGTGACCTTGTAATGTTGGAATAAAGTAAGAAAAATCATGGTATGGGTCAATATGACTCCACCTTGTACGACATGTTCTTTTAGTTTTAGATCAAATTTAATTTCTTTTCTAGAAATTTAATTTGTTTTCTAGATTGTTTCAGCCATGGCAAATAGTTCACATTTTGTAACTAACGAAGAAATTCGTCGTAAAATACGAAGATCAGTGATAATGAAAACGAGCAATACTTTTCGGAAGAAGTAACTTACAGTGAAGATGAAAATGATTTGTTGCCAAACGACAGTGATAAACCTGACGCTTCCGACGTTCGACCTGAAGACGATGCGCTCTCAGAGGACCACTTTAGCCCAGAAAATTGTTCAAATTTAGGTTCCGAAGATAGAGAACAAAGCAGAACTTTGTGTTGGGCAAAGTTGGTGAAATAATCTGGACTGATATCGATCCTTTACTGCCCAGAAACGTCAGTTTAGCTTCAAAGAATATGATTACCCATTTTCCTGGTGCCAAAGGAAACGCTCAGAACCTTGTAGATAAGGAACCATTGTATTCCTTATTCATCAACCAAGCCATGATTGATGTCATTGTAAAATATACCAATGAAGAGATGGATAAATAAAAACTCAATACAGTCTTGACCAGCGCTGTGTTGGACCCACAAATGGTCCTGAAGTGAAAGCATTACTGGGCCTTTTATTTTTCAGCGGCGTTATGATGGATTTGAACCTGAATGTCTCAGACATATTTTGTTGATTTTTCGAACAGAGGTATCCAAAAACAGATTTATCTTCCTTCTTTGCTTTCCGTTTTTCGGAGTATGTGTGCTATTTTGTGATACTGATATAAATTTTAATTTTAATGATAATTTTCATTTTAATTTTATATGAATTTAATGTGCACTTTACGAAGAAGTTTGACTGTAGTTTTGTAGATAATATCAAAAACTCAAGGTTAAATATTTACAAAGAAAGATTTCCCAAAATATTCGAGTTTTCCCTTGCTAGACTGTACTTTATTGTGATTACAATATGTTTTAAACCATTTATTTGGAAAAAAAATGCGGTTTTGTATCCTATAAGGTTAATAAAACTAAGAACTTAAAAAAAAGTTCTTCATATTTTCCAAAAATGTTGAAAAATATGCACTTAAAAACAGAGTTAGGTCAAAATGACCCGACGTTGTAGTACATATCCGGGCGCTTCACGTTGTTGACCGAAGGTTTCAGAAACTTAGGTTCTGGGCACTCTCAACGCGACACGCAAGAATGGCACAATTACATAGAAGACAAACACTTTGAACCCTGAAGATGATCTCAATAAAGATCGAAACGTTGGCACGATAAAGAAAATGTTTTTCTGAAACCTACATCACACCAAACCGCATCTCACGATTTCTGAATAGTTAAGTAAATGATTTTACGAACAATAAACTATCAATAACTCTAATTGGTTCATCAATCATCAACGTCAAACAGTGAAAATATGCAGGCTAGGGTTGGCGTGATGAACTGCACTCAGTAATTAATTATTTAAAGAGATAGGCCGATCTATGTGATCAGGGTTTATTGACAAATTTTAAAGCTGTTTTTTATTCTCATTCACACTTGAAAATTAATGGCAGTCAGAATATTTGCGGATCGAGTTGAATACAACTTCATACTCAATCCTACGCGCTCGCACACTCAAACAGGGTTGCACATACTCGCTCGCGTGCACAATTCATTCTTGCATTTGAACCATCAATTTTGTTGACCCTGAAAGCCATGAGTTATGGAAAAGCATCAGAGGGAGTGAAAGGTTCATATCCATTTTGTTTGGATTTACATCCATTGGAAGAGAGGAGTGAATAATAGCCCTACCTCGGCGATATCGCTTAATCATGAGTGGTAATGCCTTGCGGACGTTTAAATCAAATAGGACCATCTCGTCGGTTCCTATTAAACTGTATGTCTAAATTTCACCCAAAGCTGTTTGGAATGCCACGTTAATTTTTGAAAAAAAAAAATGAAATGCGTTTATTAACTTTGATATTCCGTTTGGGCAAAATCACGAGTGTTATCTGTAAATTAAAAAGCGGAACCGTAAGTAAACCGTAACTCGGCTGACCCCAAACAACAAGAAAATGGAGGGTTATATTTATGTTTTCTCATAAATGCTCCAAATTTATCAAATCGAATAGGAATTTTTGTTTGTTAAACTGTTTTGTAACGGTGTGGAAAATATTTATTTATCGAATTTCACCAAACGGGGCTTTATCGGACCGGGAATATTTACTTTAGGGTAAATCTGGTTTGTGCTGCAAAAAAAAAAAAAAATGTTCGGCCTCTCTTTTGAATCGATCTCAATTAATAAAAAATTTATCTGTTTAGGTTTTCATAAGTAACTATAATTTGAATGAGCCACATTTCGATAATAATAGTAACATTAATAAATTAAGGGTCATTAAAAAACTTCGTTTAGTTTACGAAAAGATTTGCAATATTTATTTTAACTGAGACAAATTTTACTTCATTTGGATAAAATGTTTTCTTTATGTACCCCTCAGGCTCCTAACGATATAGTACACTTTTTAATTAATTATTCTGTCTTGACTTTTTTAAATCAAAATACTTATCAAAATATTTCTTACATTTACATCTTACTTAGAAAACGTACTATTATTACTATTTTTATCATGTTTAATTTGGTTTACATTAAAATAAGTGTGTTGTAATAAAATAACGATAAAAATTCTTATAGTTTGAAATAAGGAACAGAATACTGTCGATTTAAGAAATCCACAATATATATAGGTGTGAATGTATTTATTTGTGTGAATGCGTATTGAATGTGTGATGTTATATTTCGCATGCGCTCGGGGCTGAAATGACCAATCAAAAATACAAACAAAAAACTGAATAATACCGACAGAAGGATAATTCGACGGTCAGGATATCACCAGTTAATTAGAGATCAGGGATGTGGTCATCAAAACAAGTAAGTTTTGTAACTTGTGCCAAGTTTTCAACCTTTATTGAGGTCCTTCATCAGGGCTTCTTCAAAATACTAAAAGTAAAATATTATAATGATAACAGTAAAAGCAACAATACATATATTCATTACAGTTCGTAGTCCGATTTACCGAATAACGTTTTTCAATTAATTAATCTTTGTGTAAGGTATCGGTTGGGATAAAAAAGTCAGTGACACGAGCCGGATTCGAACTCACGACCCTCGGCTCAATACGCTGCTGCTCTAACCACGCCTCGAAGACACGATAGTTCAAGTGGTAGAGTAGCCGAGGGTCATCGGTTCGAATCCCGCTCTTGACACTAACTTTTTTCTCTCAACTAATACCTTATATAAAGATTAATTAATTGCAATGCATATATGTAACCAAATGTAATCAAAAAGATTTGGTTACATATATGTATTGTTATTTTTACTGTTATCATTATACTATTCTACTTTTAAAATTGTGACAAAACACTGATGAAGACCTCAATGAAGATTGAAAGCTTGGCATAAGTTACAAAACTTACTTGTTTTGATGACCGCATCCTGATCTTTCTCTTACAGTGAATAATATTGTCAAAATTTTTTCTTTGAGTATACTATAATAAAATACAGTGAAGGTGGTAATACAATAGGTTCTAGAAGGTGCTCAAAGAAAAAAGTTAAAATAAAATAAATTATAAATTTTATTATTAAAAATATATAATGCAAATAGAGGAGAAATTTTCCTGATTTCCTCTTGTGGTGTGAGGAGAGATGAACATGTAATTTTGGTTCGCCTATCCTCGAGGGGGTTGTCTGTCAGATGGGTTTCGGCATTTGAATATTGGGTCTGTGTGATTTCTGTGAACTTAAGTCCATCATAAGGTTCTGTGAGTTTAGGTGCGTGTGCCGGGTTATTTTTGTCTTTAGGAGATTAGGGGTTTAACGGACCAACCTAATAGAAGTATACAAAGATTTATAAATTCTATGCAATGACTATCGAGAGAACGTATTTTAATATGGTGGGCGGTGAATGTGAATGACTTAATGACCTATCCCTCACTCCATTATTTTTTCTTACTTTTGCGGATGAATGTATATATTAGCGAGAATGTTCTATGAATGAGTATGAACGAAAACAAATCGTTCCACGGAATATCCAAATACATCGACGACCTACACCTAGGCTAGTTAGGCTACGGTTAGAATGGATGCGAATTCTGACGAGTATGACTGAAATCCTCCTCAGAACAAGGTGGTTACATTGTGTCCATTTTCTGAAAGTCAGCACATTTCTGCCTCCCAGCAAAATGGACGAACTTAATGAGTTTTTTTTCTTGTAAGCCCGTTGATTAAGCTGTTGTGGATTGGTGGTGGGAAAACAGAGCATGTTAACCAATTATTTTCCACAAGAGACGAGAATAGAGAATTTCAAATTTATTGCTAGTCCCTTAAAAAAATGAATATTAGTCCATGTATGATTAACGGCAATGATTGACCATATTAATTAAAATGAAATTTGATAAATGGCAAAAAGGGAGAACAT